CGCTATTGTGCTTGTCGCGGTATCGGGTATTGACATCCCAACCTGGCGAGGTACATGAGTCGCGTATCTTGCAAAGCCCCTCCTGTCCATCCACTGCTCAGTAGTGGGGCTCTGCACTGCTGTAATGAACTGTAGGGGGTGCCCTATAGGAATCTACCTCGGCTTAGAGCTATAGAGAGATGTGGTTAACTAGTAAGTGTCCACCTTTTTTTAATCATCAATTGGTTTTAGGAAGCATTTGGCACCTATTTAACTTCAGATAGATTTCTGTAGTTAAGCGTGCTGGAACAGGAGTAGTCCCAGGATGGGTGACCCTCTAGGAAGTTCTAGAAATCGATCCTACAAGTGGTATCAGAGCAGTCTTGTTGTGCCTCTTTTTAAATTTGACTTTTTAAAATCTCAAAAGTTTATTATCCCTTATTTTTGAAATTCAATTTTTTTTTAAAAATTGCCTCAATGGAATCCCAAAGCATTTACCGCCCTCCGTTTTTGAATGGCCAAAACTATTCTTTTTAGAAAATGTGGATGGAATACTTTATTGGCATAGACGGGGTACAACGTCTCGGCCAACCCCTCGAGAATATAGTTGATGGTGAGATAGTTGTTATGGTCCAAGCTTGGTTCACTATCGCCACAAGGGGGTCTTGCTGTAGGTACTCGACAAATCCCAGGACGGTAAAAAAGAACATCATCTTTTGTTGCCACATATTGAAGTTTGTGCCATTGAACTTCGGTGGCCTCTGGACCGTGCTTGCGGGTAAACCTGGCAAAATTTGACCCGACCCGTTACTAATCCGAAACCCGACCCGAAATTAGCGGGTTTTGAACATTGGTTTTGCGACCCGAACCCGAAGACTCGTTAAATTTTCAGGTCAGAACGGGTCGGGTCGGGTTTTACCCGTCGGGTTATGCACTTAATTGTTTATTTTTATTAGTTATTTAGTTTTATATATTCATTTAAAATATGATATACCCATTAGGCTACTCAAAACTCAAAAGGCGTAAAACCTAATCTAAATCTAGTGGCATTCCAGTCTCTCTCTCCCTTCTCTCTCTCTCTTTATACATACATATATATATATATATATATATATAGGAATTGACTCCAGTGAGATGACACCTTACGGTGAGATGACAGGCTTCGGTCAAATGACGCAAAGCTCACCACACTACACTACAAAACTCACCAATGGACAATGCAAAGCTCACCTGGAAATAAAGCAAAGCTCACCACTTTGAACCCCAAAACTCACCTTTTTTTAATTTTGAAAATTAAAAAATTAATTAAAAATAAACAAGCAACACCGGTCAACCACCGGTCAACGGCGCCCGCAGGCGGCAGAGACTGGCGACCGGCGACTGGCGGCGGCGGAGACCGGTGGCGGCCGGCGGCGGTCAATGCTGGAGTCAATGGTCAAAGTCTAGTCAGCACCCCTTCCTTTGTTTTTATTTTTTCAAAAAAAATTCAAAGTGTTAAAAAAAATATGGTGAGCTTTGCCTTACAGTTTGGTGAGCTTTGTAGTTGTGCTTGGTGAGCTTTGCAGTGGGCAGTGGTGAGCTTTACGTCATCTGACCGAAGCATGTCATCGCACCATAAGGTGTCATCTCACTGGAGTCAATCCCATATATATATATGTATGTATATATATATATATATATATATATATATATTTGTATATATATATCGTTCTTCCATTCTTCCACCATTCGTCGATATTAGATGCCGACTCAATCAAAATGGTGAGAAGACACAAGAACAATGGTAGAACTTTTAATCTTATTTCATCCTTTTCAGTTGCTCCTACGTGTAACTCAAATTTTAATTCTTTACTTTTGTTTTGGTATTGCGCAAGAATTTCAATTTTTTATAACGTATGTATATTTTTGGGTATGTTGAAAGAATCTCCAATTTTTTTTATCTAGTGCAATTTTTTGGTATGCTGCAAAAAGGTGATTTTTTGGGCTTATTACAATTCTCTTTTGGTATGTTGCAAATAGAACTGCAAACTTTTGTGATTTCGTTCTTTGTTTTGAATAATGCTCGGATCACATGATCTCTAAATAGAAAAATTTTTAATTTTTAAATACGCCTCTTAACCCGTTGGGTCAACCCGAACCCGATAACTCTGGGTCATGAACAAACACTCTTAGACCCGAACCCGAAATGACCTGAACCCGATCTGACCGACCATTTTGCCAGGTCTACTTGCGGGCACTGATATCGGCCCAACTACATTGGGTGTATGGTGGAAACGTCCATTTGAAGGCCAATGAGGTCCCACGAAAGGATTGACTGGTGCGTTGAATTCAGTGTTCGGTCCCATGTTGACCATTGTGGCCGAACCCATAGTTGGTCTGCGAAATGAGTTCGTATTACCAACAGAGTAACCCCCCATGGTTGAGCCCGGGAATGGATCGAGGAGTCGACCCAAAAATCGAGCTCGGCATCGAGAAGGAAGTCATGGTGGCGGCCCCCACACTTGACACGAAAGATAGCGGTGAGGAAGGCACGACCATGGCGACCGATGAGGTTCCCACCAGAGCTTCGGAACTCCTTCCGTTGCCGGAGGAAGCCACGATGCCGAATCCAAAGTCCATTTTACTGCCTTAAGATTGTTACAAATAGATTGTTACAAATATTAGTACAGCGGGAGAGAAAGAAATAAAATAATTCGAACTTATAATACGTTTGGATTTTACAGTAAAAAAATTAAAAAAATAATAGTGGGTCGCCGGAGGTTTGAAGCCGAACAAACGAATTGAACATGGAGGGAACGAATGAGCTGCTTTATTGGAATGAACGACAAAATGGAAAGATGAAGAGATATTTGCCGGAATACTGATCAGATATTAAAAACGAGAGAGTGTTGGACGCAAAGAACCTTTTCGAGGGTGTGTTTCTCAGCCGTGACCTTTCCCTCCTTATATAAGAGGGGAGAGATTCAAAGGACGTATGTGGGCGGACAAACCGAAGGGCCACGAAGTCCCTTCAATGGTGCGTGCATGCCAACACTTTGTTATTAACGAAGCCAATACATGTTTAATTTTGTCCCGTAAAAAGATAAGGGTTCGGCCCACACCCTCGCCACGTCACGATGCGTTGCGTGCACGCACGCACACGCCACGCGCGTGTGTGCGTGTCGTGCCGAGCCAGATGGACGGCAGTGGCGGTGCGCGAGGGCTCCCTTGGTTCTCCCCCTATAACTTGCTTTTACAATGCTATTCAAGACTAGCATATAAATGAAGGAAGTTGAAGGGTCTCAAGTCCGATGTGGGATACGTGGGTTTTACTCCTTCCAAGTGAACGATTTTGTGAATTAATATCTCATTCACCCCAGCACCAATTTTGGTGCACAATATATCGAAATACTCGTCCATAGTTATTTTGAAAAAATAATTTTAAGGAATCTACCGAATTTACGTCCAATGTTGTCCTGTTAGAGTAAAAAATTCCAACATATATATACTCCATCCCTTCAAAAAAAGGGTTCCTAGTTTGATGTGATGGGTAAAAGTAAGATGAGAGAGATAGATTATTAAAGTAAAAGTATAATGTGATAGCTAAGGTATGAAAAACTAAAGGTAAAACTGGTTTTTAAATAGAAAGTGAAAGCATTTGGTTCAGAGTGGAAAAAATGAAAGACGAAGTATTTTTGAGAAGGGAGGAAGTATGTAAAAACGCAGCAAACATCTTCCTCAAATCAATTCGGATTTTTTTTGAAACAAAAAATAGGGGCGGGATAGTAGTGAGCAAATACAAATTGAATTCTATGATAAAATTTGTGATACAATATATATATATATATATATATATATATATATATATATATATATATATATATATATATATATATATATATATATATAAGTAAATTCCTTAATTGGTCCTTTATAACATAGGGGTTTCCATATTTAATCCTCTATTATCAAATATTACTCTCGTAGTCCTTATTTTTAAGGGAGCCTTTTCACAAATGGTCCTTTTTTGATCTTCCGTCATGTGGATGTTAATTTAATGGCTAAAAGTATAATTTGACATCAACATTATGTCTAGCAACGTGTTCTGATATTGGTTAAGCGGATGACACAAAAATAATGACTATTTTTGTAGGCTAGGATTCCAACGGAAGACCACATTTGTAGACTATGGTTGTAGTAGAAAGCGAATGTAGTTCACAAACGATGCAAACGAAACAACCTTTGGAATTGTGTATGACAAAAACAATATATTATCATTATGAAATTAAACTTTTCGCCCTCAAACTAATATCAACATGATAGAAGATAAAAAAAGGACTATTTGTGTAAAGATACCCATAAAAGAAGGACTACTAGGGTAATAATTGATAATAAATTACTAAATAGGGAAACCCCCCTGTTATAAAGAACCAATTATGGAATTTACTATACATACATACATACATACATACATACATACATACATACATACATACATACATACATACATACATACATACATATATATATATATATATATATATATATATATATATATATATATATATATATATATATATATATAATGACCAATGGATAATGACTAAAAGTGCTACATTGGGAAAAAACATATATGGTGGTATTTAGAGAAAGTCATTATATTTTAATTTAGTGCTATTTAAGTAAAATCCTAAAAAAAATTAGGGTTGAGAGCTATTCGTGCTGATAACGTGTTGTGAATTCGGTAATTCAATCATCATAAGTTGGAGTATTTATTTATGAAAAATGCTAGGATGCCACCACATGGGTGCTACCATGGGTGCACCCATGCTTCGCACAGACAAACACAGTTGATAATTGTCTGTGCGACACAGACAATTATCATCTGTGTTTGTATGTGCGAAGCATGTGTGCATACATGGTAGCACCCATGTGGTGGCACCCTAGCATGGTCCTTTATTTATACATGTGAAGAGACAAAGTCTAAGTAAATAGAGTAACAAGATGTTCTAAATAATGAGAATATATAATATATCTGTCATATTTAACAAAGACATTTATTAAGGCATCGGAGGAGTGAAAAGTAAGAATTGAAGATGGAAAGTGGGACATACGTGGGAGACGCGGTAATATAATTCTTCACGTACAATAATTATAACTGCCATGCACGTACGATACTATAACTAGCCAGCCCGTGCAAACCAATTAAAAGCACGTACAATTATTAATACGTATGCCACAGTCTACTTCACGATGAGTGGACGAGGAGGAAGGGCAGTGGTGAAAGACATTGTTGAGGCCTCTTTATTATTATTATTATTATTATTATTATTATTATTATTATTATTATTATTATTATTATTATTATCATGATTGAAAGCCATCTTTGCCTTGTGGGCATCTGTGGGGAGCTTCACACTTGTAGCCAGCCCTAATTTGTGGAGGACCCAAATAGTGCACCAAGCCGTGTCGAGCTGCCACCACTCCAGCCCATGCCTCGCCGAGTACTCAAAGGCGTGGTGGTTGTTGTGCCACCCCTCCCCGAATGTCACCAGCGCCACCATCCTGCAGCCCGAAATCCACCGGAGAATTAATTAGTTCCAAATCTTACCCAAATGTGACCCGCAGATAGACTGCAGGGGATATAGTATAAGGTAATAGATATATAGAGCTAGTAATGAATCAATGTAGTAAAATTGGTTAGACGAACCAATTGTTTCGGGATAAGTCATTGGTGTTCCATGCTTGGCTTCCCCAAATGTGACACACAGAATTCACAAGAAATGTTACATGGAACCCCCATACAATCCTTACTCCCTGTTATTATTAGTAGATAAAATCAATTCCAAATTCCAATACACAAACACAATGGACAGAGTATCGGGTAAATTTAATCCACACCCCACAGCCTTCCTTATATGTCTCTCTGTGTGTGTGTGTGTGTATGTGTATATATGTGTATACCATGCCCCAAACAATGTAAGGGAATCCTCCAGTGGAAAATAGGAGAGCCCCAAGAAGAATATGATGGAGAAGGTAGGTCTTTCGGATGAAGATGTAGAAGGCCTGGCTCTCCAAGTCTCCTACATTTGATGCCTTTCTACTCTGCACAAGACAAGTCATTGGAGTGGAGTATTAACAATGAATTACGTACCCAGATTTTTTTAAAAAATAATGCATAACGTCAATTAAATGCAAATTGTGCATTACTATAAATGCATATTACAAGTACTTTGAATAAGAAATTGAATACTATAAATTTTTATGCACCCTTTCGTCAGCGTTTTTGGTGTCGTAGAGCCATCCCATGTGACTGAACCAAAAACCATCTCTGGGGCTGTGAGGATCTTTCAATGAATCAGTGTACTTGTGGTGGTGTCTATGGGTGCTCACCCAACCAATCGGGTCCCCCTATATAAGTGTTATTCAGAAATTCAGTAAGTGTACGACAAGTATAAATATTAATGGTACGAGAAGTATACTATTAAAGCTAGCTATTTATAATGACAAGTCAAAACATGGGGCTGAGGGCTGAGGATACGATGGTCCTAGACAAGAAAAAGAAATAGACTTTGGCCCAAACAAATTAAAAATGCTGGTCCCCAAAAATAATACTCCTTCCGTCCCGAAATAGATTACAATATTCCCTCACATTTTTGTCCCAAAAAGAATTACAAAGTCAAAAACTTTACAAGGAATTGACTCTTTTACCCTCTCACTCCCACACTATTCACACACTATTCATCCATGTGAGTGAGAAGGATACTTGGGGGATTTGGGGGTAATTTGGGGAAAAGAAATTTGATTTGACTCTTCTTTAATTTCTAAAAAAGGAAATATTGTAATCTAAAGTGGGACAGGGTAGTAGATATGAGCAGATATATAGTGCACCTTGGCCCACACTTGGTCCGGCCGTGATTGGCCAACTAGTACGTGAATAAATGTTTCCGGCCTCCAAACAAGACCACTGCTTATTTCTAAATTTGTACTCCCCTGTCTACAAAAACGATTCCTAGTGTATATTTGTATTTGACTATCTAATTTTGTCCTTGATATAATTAGTAAAAATAAGATTTGATGGTTGGATTATTAATGAAAAAGTATAACGTGGTAACTAGGTTAAGAATTAATTGGCGTAAAAGTGAGTTTTAATTGAAAATGAAAACGTTCTCGTAAAAGAGAAAAAAAATGAATTGAAAGATGAACTGGTTTAGTTAAGAGAGGGAATACTTATTTTTGTATGAAGAAAAGAACGGTAATATGAGGTACTATCCAATGCCTTCGTAATTATTCAGGGTGGGATGCTATATATGGAGTAGTAAACTTCTTGGGATGATATATTCAAGGTGGCAATGGCATACTTAATTATAATAATTAAACTCCTCGTTTGAAACCAAAACTGAATAATTACGATCCCACGCTGAATATATACCATGGGTTTGAAACCGTGGATGGCACTTCGTTTCTAACGTAGAACAAAAGACAACATTGCACTATATTTAGTTCTGAAAATTTTTCTTGTTTGATTAGAAAATACGGAGTAAAAAGAGTGGAAGAGAAAGAAAATAAAAACACAAAATGAGAGAAAACCATTTTTTTCCTACTAAAGCTTGGAACCAAACATAGTGTTCGTGTGGAGTAATTTATCTAAATAGGACTAAAACATAATGACTTTCCCAATATAAGATCATATGTTTTTATTTCCCAATGTAGGAGTTTTGGTCATTATTAATTAGTCATTATTCAAGTAAATGTCCATCATTACTGGACATTATTCCTCTACTAAGACATTATTAAGTCCTATTTAGGGAATAAAAAAGTTTAAGTCCTAGATTAGGAAAGTCATTATGTTTTAGTCCTATTTAGTGCAAATTTCACTTAAATTATTATAAACCTGCAAAGCAAGAACACCAAAATAGGAAAGCATGTACTCAAGCCATTTGGGGAGCTTGAAACTCTTGTGGCACAAATTCCTATGATAAGAGACCGTCATTCCTATGCCGGTGATAATGTAGAGCACAAACCAAAGCACAACGGCATCCCAACTGAAACAAAATGGGGCATACATGGCTAGCAGGTGAACAAAGGGCAACCCCACCTTTGAGAACGGGGTGCCCGGCGCTACCTTCAAATATTTCTTCATGTCAATCATTTTATTTAAACACTAGCTATATAGCAGCTTTTTAGTGACGTGGTTGGTCGAGAAAAGTATATATGATAGCTAGCTAGCAAGGTTTAAGGTAGAATCGCTATGTATATGCATACATATATATCGGATCTCAAGCTAGCTGCAGGTTACTAGAGGGATGGCGATATGATACCTCCTAGCTAGCAAGCTCCTTACTTATAGTAAAGTTGCGATGTACGAAATTGTTCGTAATTAATGTTGGGCGCGAAAAACAGTGTCGACCCCATGGTTTGAGTATATACCCTCTAGAAATTTACTTTGTTTTAAAACTATATATTTATTGAATGGTGAAATAATTGTAATCTTCAAGGAATAATAAAGTATTCCATCCGTCTCTAAAAGATCTTCTCCTTTCATTTTTTTGTTGTCCCCAAAAGATGGTCCCTGAAGTACATAGTAGAGTGTATATAGAAGAGATTATAACCCAACTAGGAATAAGAATTAATAATAGAAGCTAATTAAAATACAAATATTACCATAATTGTTATTACTATAATGGTCTAACACCCCTCAAGCTGATCTCGTGTCACGAGTGGAAGTCAAGAACTTGAAACCACGAAGAAGATACTGCCTTCATGAATAAGTCTGCTAGAAGTATAGAGACAATTTTCGTTGTGTGACGAACATGCTTGAGAGTGCATGTGTTGAGTTTTTTTTGGTGGAAAATGTTGGCGATTGGAGCGAGGGTGAGGTGTTTCTGTTTTTTTCTCCGTTTTGGACATCCTCTGCTTCTCCGTTTTGCCTTCATCCACTATTTTTTTGGAAAAAGAGATGGATAATGGATGATGACTATTATGCACGTTAGCCAATATTAGTGGCCACTGTTAGGCACGAACTTAAATTTTTTCTATCAAGTTAAAGAGAGAGGAATAAGGGGCGACGATGCCATGATCTGTGGTGGTTGATTGTCGATGAAGAAGACCGGCGGGGGCGTACCGTTGTAGAACAAGGGAGGTTAGGTTTGTGAGAAGAGATACTTTAGAATAATGGAGTAATTGTATTACTCAAAGATTAAAGAAATACATGGGAGAGTGTATATAGATGAGATTATAAGCCAACAAGGAATAAGAATCAATAATAAAGGTGACTAAAATACAAATATTACCATAACTAATATTATCATAATTGTTGTTATTATAATTTTCTAACAATATTTTCAAATTATATTCTTGTTATATGTAATATTTTGCTTTTAATTGTTTTTATTTTAATTACTAATATTTTATTTTCAACATAAAATTTCTCTTTATTGAACTGGAGGTATTTCAATATTTTAATGGGGGCATTTTATTTTTGATTGAGGGCATAACTAATAATTTTTTTAAAAAATAAGGTACTTTTAAAAATTTAAAATTCATTGGAGGTAAGCGCCCCCATTCGCTCTTAATAGATTTTCCACTAACAACACTTCTTGTACAATATAGCAATTTTGTAATTTACTTGAACTTTAATTACTGAGTACTAGCACAAAGAAGAATGAATATATTTTACCCACATCTCAAAATACAAATGGGTATCAGGGCATAAGAATGAATACTAGCACACATAAAAATTAACATATTTTATTTCCAAAATGAATTTTACATCTTTTCAAAATATTTATTCAATATCACCTATTTTAACCACAAATTATATTATACGACCGGTATACCACATTTCCGGTACAAGCATCGAATTGACGATGCGTCGATGTGGAGGCACACGACGAGGAGGAGACACAATTCATGTAACTATGAGTCATTCGTGATTTGCACGAAGGGTTCAAAATAAAAAATTCGAAATAGAGAATTGGGGAAGAGAGGTCAAATTTGCAGATAAAATAGGGGTTATGCGTTTTAATTTTTACACGCAAAACGACGTCGTTTTACACCATCTCTTTTTTTTAAAAAAAAGAAAAAAGTGCTTCTAAAAGATGAAGGTTAGGGTTCAAAATTAAAATTTTGAAATAGAGAATTGGAGAAGAGAGGTCAAATTTGCAGAGAAAATATGGGTTACGCGTTTTAATTTTTACGCACAAAACGACGTCGTTTTGCTCCATGCTCTTTTTCTTTAAAAAAAGAAAAAACTAACTAAAAAGAATACCCGAATGGGAGTCGAACCCGTGCCTTTAGCGTTTCAAAGTCTCGCACGCTTCCAGTAAACCAAACGCCTTTCTAGTTATTAGCCGCTATGCGTTTTTTTATATATTAAAAACATTTACAAACCTAATACCTATATGGACCTACACCGCGGTCCGTGGGGTCCCGAGACCCCATAGGACTCAAGGTGGGTCCACCTCTGGCTGTGACATTCACACCATCGAAATGACGAACAGAAATAATGGTGTCGCTCTTGTCGCTGAGCAAACCACTGACGATAACAATCCTGAAAGGAACCCTATTTTGCTTCAGAATGAACATTATATTTTTTACGAATGAGCACTATGTTGAGAAGGCTTGGAATGAACACTTTATATGTTATTCGTAAATGAATATCATAATTGTAATGAACAAATGTGCGAAAATGAACACTACGTACATTGATTTAAAATGAACATTTGTTGGGTGTTCCTAGCTCTAGGAACACCAAAGTGTATAATATCCATTCTCTACTCCTTCCGTCCTTTTTTGAATCTTCATAGTTTGACTTTCAAGGTCAACTTTTTAAAACTATGAATACAAATTATATAAAAAGTGCATTGAATTATGATAGATATTTAATCTCAGGTTCCAGTTGAGTCAGCACTGGATCCTTAGTTAGACTCTCCTTCAGACGATCAAAGCTATTCTGACATGCGTCAGACCACACAAACTTCACGTCCTTTTGCAATAGTCTATTTAGCGGGGAAGTAATCGCGGAGAAGTCTTTCACAAACCGGCAATTATACATCGTCAGCTTGAGAAAACTCCTGACCTCCCTAGCATTACGGGGAACATTCCAGTCAACCACAACAAAAATCTTAATCTGGTCAACCTTCACTCCCTCAACGGAGATCACATGACCTCTGGAAGTCACCTCCCCGAGCCAAAACTCACACTTAGACAACTATGCGTAGAGTTTTTGCTCCCTCAAGATAGATAATACCTTCTACAAGTGGCGCGCGTGCTCCTCGGCATTCTTTGAGTAAACGAGGATGTCATCGATGAAGACTACCACGAATTGATCCAAGTACGGCTCAAAGACACTATTCATCAAATCCATAAAGACAGCAAGGGCATTGGTCAACCCGAAGGGCATCATAGTGAACTCATAATGTCCATAACGGGTTCTAAAAGCCGCTTTAGGTATGTCCTCCTTCTTGACTGGTATCTGATGATACCCCGACCTCAAGTCAATCTTGGAGAACACCCTCGCCCCTCAGAGTTGGTCAAATAGGTCATCAATGCGTGGCAACGGATAACGATTCTTGACAATGTGGCCTTATTAAACTGTCGATAGTTGATACAGAGCCTCATAGACCCGTCTTTCTTCTGTACAAAAAGAACCGGTGCGCCCCATGAAGATACACTAGGACGAATTAATCCCCTATCAAGCAACTCTTGCAATTGAGCCTTCAGCTCCTTCATTTCTGTTGGGTCCATGCGGTACGGGGTCACTGAGATTGGCTTGGTACTGGGAACTAGATCAATAGAAAACTCCACCTCCCTAGGAGTCAGCAGTCCAGGGAGCTCGTTAGGAAACACATCAGGAAAGTCTCGTACTCAGGGTATATCCTTCAACTCCAGAGGTTCTTTTTGGACATCCCTGACGTGGCAAAAGAACACCTTGCACTTCTTACCGATCAACCGCTTTGCTTTCATAAGAGAGATAAATTGAGGCGTTCAGGGCAAAAACTCTCTGTTCAACACGATCGTATTGCTGTCTGATGCTTTCAACCGAACGGTCCTCAAACCACAGTAAACAACGACCTGGTGTTCAGTGAGCCAGTCCATACCAAAGATGATGTCAGATTCCTTATATAGAAGCTCGATCAGATCTGCGGGAAACAACTGCCCGTGTGCAGTCAACGTGCATTGGCAGTAGACGTAATGTAAACTCATGCTGTGACCCAAAGGATTGGACACCAGCATTGGACTCTCTAGTCGACTTCTCACAGCATGAGAAGTAGCGGGTCGAGGCACAGAAATATATGAAAAGGTAGAGCCAGGGTCAATCAAAGCTAACATATCAGAACTATAGAGTGAGAACATACCATGGATAACATCCAGGATGGGATCTGCACGACCCTGCATGGCATATGTCCTGGGTGCCGCCGGCTGCAACAGTCTCTGTTGTTACTGGTGCTACGGATGGGAGCTAGCTGTGGAATGCTGACTCTCCGCGGGACGAGAAGCCTGAGCCTGGCTCGCCACCTACACAGTCGAAAACATGTGCCCTGGGTTTGTGGGGTAGTTCTTCCTAATGTGGCCAGACTGCCCACAACCCAGGCACAACCCCATACTCCAAAAACACTCTCTTGGATGATAACGGTTGCAACTCGTACACAATGGATGCTTAGATGACTTCCCTTTGTTGTTCGAGGCCACAGACTGTGTCGGCGTTGACTTGGCCCTGTTGGACAGCTGAGTCCCTAATCCACTCGAGGGTCTCTTACCCTAAAAAACTTTGCCTGAATTGGCCGCCAACGGGCGTACCTTCGCAGGTTTCTGAACAGTCTCCACCTTCCAACCTTCCTTGGTTCTAACCACCTCCTTTGCCTGCTCGTACATCAAGCCAAAATCTTGCCTTGACGTCAGGGACATGTACTCCTGAAGCTTTGGGCGCATGCCCTTAACAAACCTGTCGCAATGTCTCTTGCTGGTGTTCACCAAGTCTTGACCAAATGTCGCAATGTCTCTTCCTAGATGCATAAACTCCTCCTGTTTCTCTTCAACGAACGAATCGGGAATGTATTCAGCCCTGAACACTCGATCGAAATACGCCCATGTCGGTTGGGCTAAGTGGTCCGTGTTCCGAGTGGTGCGTTTCCACCACTCGTACGCATGGCTCTGCAAAAGCATTACTTCCAGATCAGCCCACTCTCTATCTAGGACCGTAAGATTCTCGAACACACGTCTCACGCGCCCGTGCCATCGAAACGCAACAAGGGGGTCAGCAATATCTTCGCCGAGGAACTCCTCAGCGCCGTTCTTCTCAAGCTTCTCGATAGTGAACCTTGACTCCGGTTACTGAGTCCGCGCTATGACATTCTGGTTCATGATGAGCACCTGGTGCAAGAGCTCCATCATCAGCGTAGGGTATTGGAATAAGTGACCAACGCTAGAGGGGGGGTGAATAGCGTTTGATCGTAGAAATCGCAGGAATAAAAAAATTATGAACGTGAAAAGTAAAGAGCGTAGAAAGCGTAAAGGAAGCACACCAAGATTTATACTGGTTCACCACAACGTGTGGCTAATCCAGTCTCGCGAGAGACTCTCTCGAGCTACACTACTTCCGTTAAGCTTACGGGTGCTTAACAAACCGTTACAACCTGAGAACTCGAGCCCCACGAGCCTCAACAACACTTGCTCGGAGATACCGCACTCCAAGACTTCAACCCGAAGGAAAATACCTTTCCTTCGTACAACCAAGGGAAAAAAGCTTCCCTTAACGTGTATACAACACTAAGACACTCAAGAACAAGGCTCTCTTTTAGAGTAGATGTTGAGTAAACTATATACGCTCAAGAACAACTCAAACTTCACAAATTGGCTCTAGAAAGCTATGAAAAATGATGTTGTTTGAATGCAATGATAATATGAATATTGTGAAGTGAATTGATGAGAAAAGCAGACCCAAACACCCCTTTTTATAGT